GCTTACATCATTATCACCGCATCTCGCGCGCCACTGATGCACACCTAACATTCAAATGCAAACGTTTATTTTAAATTCGACTAATATTCATTCTTTATTCACAATCTCCTCATCACAGGCAGGCACAGCACTCAGCATGTGTTTATGTTTGTGTGAGCTGTCCGCGTCACTCGTAGCACCTGCCTATATCGTGCGCTATATCGAACATTTTTTCCGTCGATAAATATCGATACCGTTTTATCGCCCAGGCCTACTATATAGCAAATATACTGTGATAATGTGAGAAATGTTGAAGGTGTCTGAATAAATTTTGGTTTGAATGAATATTAGGGCTGCACGATAAATCGCATGCGATGTTTAACGCGCATCTTATCAGTAAAGCCGGTTCTCTAATCAGCGGTAAATCTCCATCACCTGCGGGCTTTCACATTGAGCAGCATTAACTACACAGAGCCGTTGTTCACTGACGAGCTGCGCTAGGTATACAAACTGGAAATAAGTAAACATGTATAATATATAACCAAATAAATAAGAAACGTAGAAGTAGAGTAAGAAAGCTTGGAGGCACGGCATACACCTTGATGTCAAATAAAATAAATAAATGACACAAAGTTTAAATAAAGTAAAAATCAGCAAACAATGTGGAACCAATTCAATAAGAAACGAATGTTTAAAAAAACTTCCAAAATCACCTTAGATAAAAGGCAAAAGTCAACAGGCTTTTCAGAATCCAAAATATTGCCAAACAGGCGCTTTTGCATCTAGTTTTGAAACTAAATCATCCGCGATCGTCTTGTCTGTCTCACCCCACTCTTCTTGTCAGTCAGCTGGACTCACTCTCCTCACTGGAGAAATCTGATCTGATCTGTGTGATGCGACTGTCGTTCGGCACGCTGCATTGAGCAGCCGCGTTCAGTTTTTAATTGTAGTGTCTGTTCTTTTACTGAACTAAATTATTTTTATTACTATAAAAAATCAAAATGACGGTGGGGGTCGGTGACGCGGTGGGCAAGTGACGTAACCGGTGTTGCGGCTTAACACCGGTATCACCGTCAGCACCGTTTATCGCAGCAAGCCTAATACATGGCACTTTAAAGTAAGCATGGTGTTTATGGTATTTAGTCAATCTGCAAGTGACATAAGGTTGATCCACGTCTAACATTGGCTGTGTCTCAAAACCTAGTGAGCTGCCTACCTTGACTGCATTGCTGTCTATATGTAGGGAAGCTCCTGGAGTTTTCAGAGCCATTTGTGTCCATGCATAACTCCCTGCGCTCTGATGGTACAGATAGTCTTTCTTTAATTTGATTTCGCTTCAGTGTAATGGACTGGATGGAGGTGTGAGGAGTTGAGGTCATTGTTTGTGGATGATGTGAGATGTTGAATTCAGGGCATTCGGGTGCGGTTCTCCATATTATTTTAGGAGATGAGATGATTGACACTTTCCATTCACATTGGTGCTAAAGAATGCAATATCTGAATTAAAATGTAATTAAATGCAAAGTCCTGAATCCCTCATTAAACAGTTTGCTGAAATGGATTTAAATATAATTTAGTGCAGTTTAGGGCGGCAACAAATAATGAAAATAATGACATCCACCAGTCACATCACTTTACAGAAGTGAATAAAGTATTTCTATGGACAAAATGCATCTGAAATATAGCGGAGGACACAGACTGAATGGTAGAAGTTAGGCTAACATTTAGTCTGTGCTTTTGTTTTCCTGTTTTAATTGTATTTAATTTAGTGATTTCAAAAAATTCTAAACTTTTCCAAAGCATTAAAAGAAGAGAGCTCTTCATACAATTAAAAAGTTCCTCTTTTTTTCCTTACGTGATCCCTTTCCACCAAAATAAATTAAAATATACATGCAGATATTAAAATAATAGTGTTAATAATAACATACAAAATAAATAAATAGATAAACATCAGGATAATGCACACATTTATGAGAGAACATAAAAAAATAAATAAATGCAATTCAAATGTCTGATATAATTTAGTTTATTTTAACTTTAAAATGATGGGCAAGCTGTTTTTCTTCTTTCTTTCTTTCTTGCAGTGTTTTACAACGTAATCTTCCTTTTTTTTTTACACATAATATATAACATAACCTACACACAAAGAAGAAACTGTATTGATATTTTGCACCATTTTAATGCTAAATCTTGATATTGATGCATGTGCATCTAGTTAAAAAATAAAGCATGTTTTTCACTGAACCAAAATTATTTTGATTTATAATCATATGTTCAAAGAATATACAGCAATATTTACTTGCATATATTTACACTAAGCCATTTTTAATATATAGTAAAAAAATGCTGTTATATGCAGCACTTCGATTCATTCATGAAAAGGAGTTTATACTGTTTTTGAAATCTGAAATTCAGCTAAAATGCTTCAGTTTTCTAAACTCATGAGTGATAAAAGATCATGAAACTAGTCTAATGACACATGAACTTAATGACCAAATAAAAAGCACATTACAATCATTGCAATATGCAAACTTTTCCTCTTTTTAATATATACAACGTTGGACAAAATGATTAGAACACTAGTATTCTCAGCAGCTAAAAATGGTTTTAAGTCAGTTATTTGTATCTTTTGCTGTAGTGTGTCAGTAGGAAATATCAGTTTACATTTCCAAACATATTAATTGTAATAATCCAGTGAGATTTTTGTTTGCTCCACACAGAGATCTGATCATCATCATCCAATATAAGATGAATATCATTTCTAGTTGCAATGCACTCTTGCATTATTTGACATGTAGTCTAGGTCTTAACTCATACATTTGCATTTATGCATTTTACCTGACTTTGAAGGCCAATACACTTTTTTGAAAGTGTGTTTTATTAGCAAACTGCATTGTTTGCTCTTTCTTTTCAACTGCACAATCAAAGCAAATGTAGGACATAGGGTTGTGACAGTGAGGAAATGTTCCCACCGGTTAATCGACGTGTGACAACACCGGAAATACCGGTATCACCGTTGGGGTGGGAGGGGGGTGTTAGTTTGTTTGAGTTTCCCGCTTTTCTTAGCTTTCAAATGGCTTGTAAAAGTGCCGTACGCATTTTACTTTCACTTTCGAATTAGCGGCAATTGAATTGCTGCAATTCGGCATCAAGCAATTGTTCGTTTGAGTTTTCCCTCTTTTCCTCGGATTTCTTGGCTTTCAAATAGCTTGAAAAAGCGCGCCGTGCACGTTTTACTTTCACTTTCAAATTAGCGGCAATTCAGCGTTGATTCAGTTCAACAAACAACGTCAAACTCATAGAATTTTTATTAACAAAACGAATAAAAATACACCATATATGCCTAATAAAATAACAAATTACTTAGGCTGCACAAAATTTAAATAGGTATATAAAACTGAAAATCTGCAAACACTGTGGAACCGCGGTAGGCAAATGACGTAACCGGTGTTGCGGCTTAACACCGTTATAACCGAAAACACCGTCTATCACCGCAAGCCTAGTAGGACATTCATTCATTTCTCTCTTTCTTTGTCTTTTCAGATTTTTGAAGGGGAAGTTCTTCTTGAATGCCCAAGACACAGTCAGTACGGTTTTCACCATGAACAGGAATAAGCGCGAGAAGGAATATTACAGCATAGATGTAGGAGATTCAACGTTTACCGTGTTGAAGCGATATCAGAATTTAAGACCAATCGGATCTGGGGCGCAAGGCATCGTCTGGTAAGTTGAGTTGGATTTCTTCTTAGCCTGTAGAATATGAAAGAAACAGATTATCATTAAGTAGAAAGTGTGGCGAATGAAAAGCTTGTGTTTGGCTTTTTCTGTTTGTTTTTGTAGCTCAGCGTATGATCATGTCCTCGAACGAAATGTTGCAATTAAGAAACTTAGCCGACCCTTTCAGAACCAAACCCACGCCAAACGGGCCTACAGAGAACTGGTGCTGATGAAATGTGTCAACCACAAAAATGTAAGACTTGTTTTTCTCTGTCTCTGTCTGTCTGTCTGTGTGTATGCAATAAAAAAAGTGAGATTTGTAATGTTTTTGAAGTCTCTTCTGCTCACTAAGGCTGCTTTTATTTGATCAAAAGCACAGTAGTATTATGAAATATTACAATTTAAAATACCTGTTTTCTATGTGATTATATGTTAAACTGTAATTTATTTCTGTGATCAAAGCTGTATTTTCAGCATCATTACTCCAGTCTTCAGTGTCACATGATCTTCAGAAATCAGTATAATATGCTGATTTGCTGCTCGAGAAACATTTCTGATTATTATCAATGTTGAAAACAGTCGTGCTGCACAATATTTTTGTGGAAACCGTCATGCATTTTATTTTTCAAGATTCACAGATGAATAGAAAGTTCAAAAGAACAGCATTTATTTGAAATAGAAATCTTTTAACATTATAAATGTCTTTACTGTCACTTTTGATCAATTTTATGCATCCTTGATGAATAAAAGTATTCATTTCTTGACTTTTGATCAGAAGTGTACTTAATTTTGTAATGATATATTTTAGATTGTAAGAACTTGATATCATCAGATATCAGCACAGGGCACATCTTTTATGCAGTATGCTTTGATTTCACAGATAATTGGTTTACTACATGTGTTCACGCCACAGAAGACACTTGAAGAATTCCAGGATGTGTAAGTTCTTTCTGCTGTGATTTTAACAGTGTTCTAGAATGGAAGTGAAACATAATAGTATAGTGATATAAATTTGGTCAAGGATTAATTCAAATGGGTTAAATAAAGAGATGTAGAGATGTTCGTGTTCAGTATGTACAGTAGATGCAACTGAAATCCTGCATAAATCGCACATCTCTGTGTGTATATGTGCGTATATGCTTGTTCATTTGTGTTGCTCGCACACTTGCGTCTCGTCTGTCTGCAGGTATCTGGTGATGGAGCTGATGGATGCTAACCTGTGCCAGGTCATTCAGATGGAGCTGGACCACGAGAGACTCTCATACCTGCTTTATCAGATGCTCTGCGGCATTAAACACCTACACGCTGCTGGCATCATACACAGGGTACACACGCACACACACGCACACACACACACACACACACACACACGCATGCACGCACAAATTGGATTATGCAATTTCTCCACAGCAGCTCAGTCTGTGTCCTCCGTTATATTTTTCAGATGCGCTCATATCAAACTACTGTATATCGATATAAACGGTATTGCGTCATACCATATCGCTTATAAAGAATATATCGATATATTGTACAAACTCGATATACCGCCCAGCCCTAGGCATCGCACATTTTTAGTTTTTCGAAAATACTTTTTTAATTTTTTTTTTAAGAGGAATATCACCATTTTTCTTCCACGTTTTAAATCTCTGCATCTCAGCACATTAGAATGGTTAAATGTTCGTTTTATTACATTATAAAAGATTAATTAAATTGTTAATGTTTTATTCCTTTTTTTTGATAATAAATTTGTATTCAATCATAAATCTAGAAAAATAGATTAAAATAAACAGCACATAATTTCATTAAAATTCAGAAATTCAGAATTTAATTGTGGAAAAATTCAAATTCAATTGTTTAGTGCTTTTTGATTATTCAAAAATGTAATTAAACCATTAAAACAGAACCCAGAAAGACTAAAACAAGGGAAAATAATTTAGGAAAAATTCAGTGAAAATTGTGTGAAAAAAAAAAAAAAGATTTTATGGAGCCCTGAAATTTAGATTTTTGGTATTTGTTGTCTATTTGCAAAAGTTTCATGATTTAAGTTAATTTGACATGCTTTTGATTACTAAAATTTCATTTAACCATTAAAGAAAAATTTAATCCAGAAGAATAAAAAAAGAGAAGTAAATGGAGCATGTTTTACAAGAAAACATTTCAGTCTTTCTACTTCAAAATTTCACATTTAATTCAATGCGTTACTTGCCATTTCATTGTAATTAATTGTGACGGCTTTTAATGTACAGCGAAAACTCTTGTATGAAGTGAACTCAAAGAGTTATTTAGTAAAATTTTGCCAGGAAAAGTTTTAGAATTTTTATCACATGTTAATGTAAAAAATCTTGTGTGATATAACTTGTGTTTGTTTGTTTGCTGGTTTTTATTGTATTTGTTATACTTGTATTTTTTTAATTGTTTTTGCCATGAAAAAAGAAATTTACCAGAAATTTCTGACTCCTGACCTCTTCACTTCCCAGGATCTGAAGCCCAGTAACATAGTAGTGAAATCCGACTGTACGCTGAAGATCCTGGACTTCGGTCTGGCCCGGACAGCCGCCACCGGCCTCCTCATGACTCCTTACGTGGTGACGCGCTACTACCGGGCCCCTGAGGTCATTCTGGGCATGGGTTACCAAGCCAATGGTGAGTGCTGACCTGATGTCACTGCATGTAAAGGTCCCACCTGAGCACATCCACACCATTCTGCTGAAACGACCTCGACCTCACCGAGCGGCTGGGGTGTTTTAACGTCAAATTGGGCCCCTATGATTTCTGCGATGTGGACGGAATCGTGGAATCCAGCCATAAAAACGGCAAACGCCATTTCAGCACGTCTCCACAGTAAACAAAACAAGCGTTTCCTAGCAACGACAACTGCGCTAAACACTGAGACAAGAAATAAATACACTTACAAGCTGCTTTTAACTTTTTTAAATTTACTGTATAACGCGGAATGTCACGGAATTGGTCAAAGTTTTGGATGAATTAATCAGAAGTAGGTCATTACACTTAAATTAAATCGCGATATGGACCATTATCTGTAAATTAGGGATGTAATGATGAACCGCGAGCTGGTTGAAAATCGGTTCAAATATGTGACGATTCAAATCGGTTGAGATGCCAAACAAGTAGGAATTTGTATGAATGTATCTCTGAGGGGAACTGACTGAATTTAGAAAAGTTTAGATGGCATTTTCTTTTCATCTTGCCTCTGAACGATGCATATTAATGTAGCGCAGCTCTGCTTTGTTTACAGCGGTAACCAAGGAAACACTGTATCATTGCTGTTCATAAGCAGCTCTGCTTTGTTTACAGCGGTAACCCAGGAAACACTGTATCATTGCTGTTCATAAGCGCCACCTGCTGTCAGAGAGTGAATCTGCGTCTCATTCAGCTCGTCTGCTGTTTCCTTCAGATATGTTTTATGTATAGCTTCACAAAACTAAAGTCAGACCATTCTGTTTTTGCTTCGAATTTCGAATTTTCTAATTTAGATTAAAAACTGCTCATGTTGCACGTATGCTGCATCTTTGTTTGGATCATGATTAAAATACAGTGGTTGCCTCTAATTTTAAATGGAAAGAGCACAGACAAGCCTTAGTTTGTTTATATGAAGAGATTTCTTTTGTTTGTGTAACTTATTTGATTTGGCGTTTGTTTTCAAATTTCAATTTAGGTTTGTTATATTTCAGTTTCACAAAGAAACTTGCAGCAACAGCCTAATAAAAGGACACCTTTTCATTTACTGTATGTTTTGTTTACTACACATACTGAAGCGTGTGATGCTCGCGGTGATTTCATCGTCTGTCGTCTCACTAAATAAGAACATAAGTACATGAACAACATCTCTAAAACTGCTCTGAAAGTCACTTCATGAGCATTTTAACCTTTCATTTGAGTGAAACTAGCGTCATATCATATATACACAGAAGCGTAAAGGTATTCACGGCAACCCGTCAAAATAAAAGTTCGGTTTAACTGGAATAAACTGTGTCAGAAATATGTTATTGTGCAGAAGTTACGTAATACTACTACTACTACTATCACTACTACTAATAATACATTATTAAAAATTAATTTAAGAATTAATCACAATATTTCTCCCATGTTTTAATTTTAATAGTATTAAAATTGTTTGCCAAAAACAAAGAATTTCTGGAAAAAGAAATACAAAACATTTTATTGGGCTATTGTAAAAATACATTTTAATAAATTAAGTTAATAAAATAATGCTTAAACAGAATTTGGTAACAATAAAACAGAGCATGAGAAAAACAAAAACAAACATATTTCATAGGGCCCTAAACATTTTATTTTGTTGTTAAACTATAATATATTGATGTTAAATTGTATAAGTTTCATGGTTTTAATTAATTAGACATGCTTTTTGATTAATAAAATCTAATTTAACCATTAAAATGGAGTCCAGAAAAATAAAAATGGAAAAAACGGAATTTGGAAAAAAATAAAACGGATTTCATAGGGCCCTAGTTAAAGTCCCTTGAGGGATTGTGTTGTCCCGCTGAACTAGTTTGGCAGTGGTTTCTGCATGCACGAGCACACTGGATGGGTTTGCCTGTAGCACTGAGCATCTAGCATTAGTCACTGAATCTTACGTGGGAAGTGAAAATGGTTCGCTGCAGTACAAAAATCAATTTGAAGGCCAAAAACGCTGACGTTTAAGTCCTCGATGGTAGCGCGGAGGAAAAATTGTCACGGAAAAATGTGGTCCTTTATGCTTTGCTTGTTTTCTCTTTTTCCTCTATGCTACACTGGTGTAGTGGATATTTGGGCTGTTGGCTGCATTATGGCAGAGATGGTGCGGCACAAAATCCTTTTTCCAGGGAGGGACTGTATCCTTGTTCGGCCTCTAGTTGTGCGCTGTGCAAGCAGAGCCGTGTCTTGCTCTGTTACGGATTATATATGATGCACACTGAGATGTTTGCATGCACCTGTCACCTCTGTTGCATCCACATCAATGCACCCTGTTCCTTAGATATATGTGTGTGTGCTCGATTTTCTGTTTTTCATTTGTAAGATTTTTGGCATTTTAATTTGGTTGTCATTTCATTTTTCAGTTGATGTCTGGTCTGTTGGCTGCATCATGGCTGAAATGGTCAGAGGTAGTGTGTTGTTTCCCGGCACAGACCGTATCCTTACCTGCTCGTCTTTACTGTCCCATTCTAAGTGTTGTTTCTTTCTTTGTTGAGTTATTTTACCCTTGATGTGTGTTTTGTCATTGATGTGCGAGACCTGATGAAAAGAAGGTAAAATTTTTAATAGAAGGTTAAAAAAACAATAACTCTTTTCTCCCTTACACAATACAATGTTAAGTGTCAAATGTATTAATTTCTAAACGGTAAAATCTCATTAGTCTAAAAATCCCGCTCTACATACATAGCTCTAAGCAGCATTTTTTTTAGTTAATTGATTTTCATTGATTACAGATGTATGCAGAGTACAAAAAAAAGAAAGACTATTCATAATTATATGTACTACTCAACATTCATAACTGTTTAAGCAAATATATTTCATATAATATTGATTTCCATATTTGATAAAAAATAGGTTACATTATACATATTTTTTCCCGCTAATGGATTATATGATAATTTATTCCACCACCATTTTTAAAGGTTCATTTGCCATATTATAATTGAAAATGTTTTAATATTTCACAATATTTCTGTTTTTACTGTATTTTTGATCAAATAAATGCAGCTTTGGTGAGCAAAAGAGGCTTACAAAACATTTAAAAATCTTGATAATGTAAACATTAAAAAGAAAAAAAAATAGTAGTGGTGTATATACATACATTTATATTTACATATATTTATATTTATAATTTTGAAGAATACCAAATATGTAATAAAAATATATTTGCAAAATAATTTTTTTGCAAAAATATGTTGTAAAAACCTGATATAATTTTACCATAAAATGTTCTCGCCATGAACAAACAAACAAACATTTAAATCATCAGTACTAATATATATGTACGCATGTACACACACGTTAATATAATGTTAATGTAACATTTTCACTTTCAACGGGTTTGTTTATTTTGAATACGTGCCCTCTAGTGGCGAAAATTACATACTGTGCCTTTAACATATCACACCAGATCAGGAAAATGTAAGTGTCATTCTTAAATGTAATAAAGAGGTTAACTGCTTAAGTTTTTGATATATTTACGGTAGGACATTTACAAAATATCTTCATGGAACATGATCTTTACTTAATATCCTAATGATTTTTGGCATAAAAGAGAAATGCATAATTTTGACCCATACAATGTATTGTTGGCTATTGCTACAAATATACCCCAGCGACTTAACACTGCTTTTGTGCTGCAGGGTCACATATGTATGTGACTTGGCAGTCACCAAATCTTAGTCTGGTGAGAGAGTCAGTAGTTTTCCTTAGCTTGTCATCTGAAGACATTGACCAGTGGAACAAGGTGATCGAGCAGCTGGGCACACCGTCTCAGGAGTTCATGCTGAAGCTCAACCAGTCTGTGAGGACTTACGTGGAGAACCGGCCCCGCTATGCTGGATACAGCTTTGAGAAGCTCTTCCCAGACGTGCTGTTCCCTGCAGACTCCGACCACAACAAACTGAAGGGTGAGGGATGCTTCTGCAACATTTAGGCCTGACTTAAAGCTTTCTATAGATTTATAGTGTTGTTACTTTGTAAATATTGATTATTGTAGATTGCAGTCAGAAATGGATAGTTCTGATTGGATGAGCCATGTTCAAAGATGCACTTAGCAGATAAATGCAAACTTCTGACTCAATGTGCAACTTTAAACTACAAGGAGATAGGCTAATGATGCTCGGCTAGTGTGTTTTGTTTGCTGCAAATATTGTTTTATTTAAAGTTGTGAATATTTATTAAACATGATACGTTTTAGTATTTTACCATTTTATAGATGCAAATGAAAATAAATGCATTTGATGTTACGGTGCAATCACATTAACAACTTTTCGACAAATCTTACTAAAAGTATTTAATTGGAAGGTGTATTTCTTTTATTTAAAATAAAATGAAATGTTTCTAAATTATTATTATTAATCATACCATTAATAACAATACTAATAATAACTGTAGCACCTTTCAAGTTATAAGTTGCTTTATTAAAGCGCCTTAAAACAAATACCAAAAAGCAGAATAAAACAAAAAAACTAAAGGAATACAAAAATTTAAAGAATACAATCGAGAATAAGAAATTATAAAAAAAAAAAACAATTACAGCACAACAAAAATTAAGAATAAAAATTATTATTATTATTATTTTTATTTTTTATTTTTTTTACAAATTAAATGTTAAAATGCATATCAAAGCAGAAACTACTCTAAAATAAAATGTTGCTCCATGTGCAAATTCTTCTGATCTTGCACCATTTGGCATGTCTAGATAAAAACACTGCATCTATTTATTGTTATATATAAACATCTCAAACTCTTCTGTGTGAACATCAATTAGGGATAAAATGATACCAAAACCAATTTCAAGCTTAAAAATTAGACACTGTATGAAATACTTGGGTATTCTTGCTAATCCATAGTTCACAGCTGTAAATTTGCTATTAGCTATATATAAAAAGGTCTGAACCCTTTAAAATGTGCTGCCCCTCCTGCTTCAAAATATGTCAACACTGTGCTAACTAATGTCTAATTGCTTTAATTAAAGGTGCCTTCAATTCACAGTTCTGCTTTGCTGAAGTCCAGACACACAGTTGTTGGTTTTCCTTCATTAAGTCACAGTGATCTAAGACCAGCATGATTGTCCGTGCCGAATTTCCTCTCAATTCAGTTTCTGATTGAAATGCAATATTTTGCAGCGAGCCAGGCGCGAGACTTGTTATCCAAAATGCTGGTAATAGATGCGTCTAAACGGATCTCGGTGGACGAGGCCCTCCAGCACCCCTACATCAACGTGTGGTTCGACCCGTCAGAAGTGGAAGCGGTAAGTGTTGGTTATTGAGTCCAGCTGCATGATCTCTGCAGAGAGAAGCGCTGATGGAGAGTGACGTCTGCTTTTCTTTTCTTTGTGACGTATCTGATTGACGTTTATCTGCTTGGTTTCAGCCTCCGCCGGCGATCACCGATAAACAGCTGGATGAGAGAGAACACACGGTGGAGGAGTGGAAAGGTGCGCTTTTTATTTTCAATCATTGATTGTCATAAACTCATAATATTTAGTCTCTGGTGAGATAAAGGTTTGATATGGAAGCAAAATAATGCCATATGTCTTTGAAACAAAAACGCATGTTGAATGCATTGTATTTCCTGGGCTTGCATTTTTAGGTCCTGAAATGTAACATAGTTGTTTATTTAAGCTGTGAATATTTCAGTTCAAAATATTTCACGCACATTTTCATAATTAAAAATTCAATAATTCATATTCACCTTCCAGAGTTCACTTCCAAAATATTCAATCTGTTTAAAAATAAGATGTATAATATTCGATCCAAATTTCGGTTAATTTTTTCACTTTCCAAATTCGCTTCCACAAATTCAGTGGTTAAAAATTCGGCAGAAAATTTGCCATTGCACATGAAGACCAAAGTCACAGCTTTTTTCCCTTAATAAACAAAATTATTATTTCAAAACTGCATTTTATATTTACTCGGGTTATCTTTTTTGTAATATTAAAATTTGTTTGATGATCTGAATCATTCATGTGTGACAAATATGCAAAACATTTAAAAGCTGTCCTCGGATCACCCCGTTTTTCGTTCGTTCCTCCCAATCCAGCACTTCCTTATATATCAGCTCTGATCAGGGAACAGATACAGAAGAGCTAACATTACTTAAGGAAACAAGTCTCTCTTTTTTTGCACTGATGCCATGACGTACAATCTTATATTTCACTTTGTGCCCATTAACAGAGAAAATAATCATACACATGAAAAAGCTTGGAATCAATGGTTTCCAAAAAATAGGCATAAATCAAATAGTAATTTAATAAATACATTTTTATAAATAAATAGAAAATGTACTTGTTTGTTGCATTTGTGTGTATATATATATATATATATATATATATACACACAAATGCAACAAACAAGTACATTTTCTATTTATTTATAAAAATGTATTTATTAAATTACTATTTGATTTATGCCTATTTTTTGGAAACCATTGATTCCAAGCTTTTTCATGTGTATGATTATTTTCTCTGTTAATGGGCACAAAGTGAAATATAAGATTGTACGTCATGGCATCAGTGCAAAAAAAGAGAGACTTGTTTCCTTAAGTAATGTTAGCTCTTCTGTATCTGTTCCCTGATCAGAGCTGATATATAAGGAAGTGCTGGATTGGGAGGAACGAACGAAAAACGGGGTGATCCGAGGACAGCCGGCCTCACTAGGTTAGTTTCCAGCTCTGCGTCCAGCTTTTCACACGACATTCACCCTGGGTTAATCTGTTTTAAACTACAGGTTAAGGGCTGCTTTAACCAGTGTTGGGGGTAATATATTACAAGTAACGCAAGTTACATATGTGTTTGGACAGGTGTGTGGGTTACGGTCATACCTGCACGTTTCCGTGAGCGCGGGTGATGATGTCGATGCTGTCTCCGTTCTGCTTGTACTCCAGGATACAGGCGTTGTATTTAGCGGTCAGAATGAACAGAAGATCTTTGCTCTCACCCTGCACATAAAGCAAACAGACAGCTTTTAATAACATTATGCAAATCAGACAAGTGTTGACATGCTGCAGAAATCTGCGTGAAAAACTCAAGTTAGGGCTGTGCAAAAAAATCGAAAGCGAATTTAATGCGCATTTCCATAAAAAGTAACTAAGTAACGTAATTAGTTACTTTTTTATGGAGTAACGCAATATTGTAATGCATTACTTTTAAAAGTAACTTTCCCCAACACTGGCTTTAACCCTGGCTTAAATTATGTTCAGGTTTAAAGTCAGAGTAATTTTCACATGCTAAAAAAAGTAAATGTCAAACAAAAGAATTCTTGATTAGAAAGTAGTTCATATAATGTCCACTCAACCTTATTGACTAAATATTCAAATAAGAACATCAGTCCAAGGTTTACAAATGCATGTGGTGAAATCTCAAAACCTGACCACCTAGGATTCATTCATTTATATTTTGTATATTATATTTATGTGAATTATTATTATTAATTTATTTATCTTAATTAAAAAAAATATTTTATGATTACTGATTATTTATTCATTATAAAAAGTCACCATTTATCAATTGATTGTGTAAGATGTTAAGACTTGTTTTCATAGAATGTCTCGTGTTAGAAAGTTTATTTTCCTTATCTCATATGTTTTTACCCTTGTTTTAAGCATATAGTGAGGTTTATGCCTAAAACAGGAAAAAAAAAAAAAAACTTCTGAAATAAGATGAAAAAGAAAAAGAAATAATTGTAACTTTTATTTATTAATGTACCATTCATCAAATTTTTTTTTTCTAGTAAATACATCTAAACATCTTTAATGCAAGGTTAATTTACCTGAATAGTGACCTTATTTAAGACATTAAGACTTGTTTTGAGAGAATATGTCTTGAATTAGGTTTATTTTTCTTACCTCATGTTTTCTTGTTTTATGGATAAATCTAATTCAGTGATTCTTACCATTTATTATATATTAAATATAGTATATTAGAGTTTAGTATGCCTAATACATTATAAAATAACTTTATGCACTGTATTCTCTAAAACAAGGGTCAATATCTGACAGTCTTTCTTAAGTAAATTGAAAATAAAAAAATCAAGTTTTATTTATTAATTAAATCAGTGTTTTTCTAGTAAATGTGTAAACATCTTTAATTCAAGATACATTTACTTCTACAGCAACATTATGTATATTAAGACTTGTTTTTAGACAATTTGCCTTATTTATTTTTTTTGTTTGTTTTAAGTAGGGCTACCATGATTTCTCGATTCTATTCGATTTAAAAAAGTCCTCGATTTCATTTTGCCCGCATCGAGTAATCGTTACTAGACCATTATTAGACCATTTTCCAAGGCTGCATGATATATTTAACCCATTTAAAAATTGTAATAAAGCATAATGCTATTGTGAATTCACAAACGCTACAATTCAATTAAATAAATATATGCGATGCAGGTTTAATATGTGTGCTTCAATTATTTACATGCATAGGTTACACAGTAAATAAATGCTGCTCTGCACAAACTGTTATCATTTACATATGTGTAGCGTCTCAAACTCCATCTTTGGATGTTGTTGTGAGTTTGGGTTTATGATAACGTTCATCTGGGAACGCAACGTGTGCCATTTCATCAGATTTGTAAGGTAATTCATTTATAAACCTACGCGAACACAGGAGAATACATCAATATCTTTATCAATATGCTAACTGTTCATCACGATTTCAAAATAAAAGCTCAAACCCTCGTTCTGAGTTCACACGTTTCGATGTCCACATATTCAAGAAATTACAGTGGCTGTAGCATTTCTGTCGTAAAGAAATGGCCAAATATTAAAGATTAAGTGGAAATTTGAATCAAATGATGCTTGGTCAATATTAAACAAGGATTAGATCGCGCAGTAAAGTGTAAAACAATTGTCAAGCCGTTGGCGCCCTCTGTTGGCATTTGTTATAATGTGTAATGCACATTAGCTCTATTTATAATACATTATGTATTTTAACAGTTTTGTTCAATAAAATCAAATGATTACTTGAATTTGATACTTTATTTAAGCTAATTATTATTGCCTCATTGCTATTATATATGCATTTCACGTGATTTTAAAAGCAATTCTTCGCTTAGGTCTGTTTTTATTACCAAAAAAAATATATATATATAATCATCATAATAATCGACAGATTACTCTATTACCAAAATAAACGTTAGTGACAGTTAGGGTTGGGAATCGAAAATCAATTCCAGAATCAAATACTTGTTGTAAAAAATTAAAATTTCAATTCCTGTATGCGCATCTTTTTTTTTTTTTAAGGGGCTGTTAAAAATTTATTTCTTTGAATCATTCATTCAAGAGATTCATTCAAAAACACTGATTCATCCAGTAATGAAACAAGTAAATCTTGAGTGAGTCATTGAATCATTCCATGAGATTTTGTTTACTTGTTTAGTTTTTTCTTCAGAATTGTGAGAGAACTACCTCCATTTAAAAAAACAAAACAAACAAAAAGTCAATTTATCCAGAATTGTGCAGCTCTATTTTGCACACACACAGCTCTTAATCGAGTCCAGTTTTTATGTAGCCGGCTGATTTTTGTTTATGGTATTCAGCAGCAATTAAATGTTTTGCAAAAAGAGACACCGCATAAATATGTTTGATCTCTAAATTTTGGAACCTGGAATCGAAACTGGCAATCGGGGTTGCGCTTTATTTTACAGTACGTGTAATTACAGTGTACTTACAGTGTACCTACCTAAGAAAGTACTGGTAATATAAGGTAACTACATGGGGTAGGGTTAGGTTCAGGGGGGTTAGTACCTAGTTATTGTAATTACTATAATAAGAACATAGTATGTACATGAGTAACAGGACTGTAAAATTAAGTGCTACCAGAATTGGAATTGATCAAATTCAAACAATACCCAACCCTAGAGACAGCCCAGTTTTGAAGTGTGAAAGTCACTGAGTTTCCGCAGTACCTGTCTGATAAAAGTGGGATCTGTTTCTCATAGCACAGGTGCAGCAGTGAGCAATGACTCCCACGAGCCCTCGACGTCCTCGTCCTCCACAAACGACGTCTCGTCCATGTCCACCGACACAGACAGCAGTCAGGAGGCGAGCGCAGGACCGCTGGGCTGCTGCAGATGACTATCCTCCTCCTCCTCCTCCTCCATCATCATCATCATCATCATCACCATCCGCTCCCCGCTTCCATGCAAGCGTCACGCCAGTCCGGAAACGCTCCTCCTTTCTGTCTCAAACTGACACGTTCTTTTGAATTGACAAAGTGTAAGAACGGAGGTAAGAGTTTTGGAAAACCAGCATTACTTTGATCGCTTTCGTTTTTGCCGGCAGATGGAAGCTACTGCTGCGCCATCTTGCCATTTGGATGTGGAATGATTTGAGTTTATTTATATTATAAAGATGAATGGGGAATATATTTTTAAGGTGTTTAATTGTTTTGGGGTTTTTTTGAAAGAGAGAGTCATTTATTAAACGGCACATCCATTTTTCTGGATAAACGAGTGTTTCCTCACTGTTACTACTGCTTTGGAGTCAGTGGCGCGTAAAATCGCAGTTTGTTCGGCGGCAGAGGTGGTTTTAATGTGACCTGATTGATTTTAGTTGGACGTTTTGGACGTTTGTCTTACAGAAACACATTTTAAAGTGCTTTTAGGGTCTGTAAGCTAGTCTTTTCTCTTTCTAATGTCATTGCACACGATTGACGTCACGTAGTATTCTCTCACGTTTGGGTTTTCAAACGTCACTGTATGTAATCTAGTCTGTACATATTTCAACTTTAAACACAGAAAACAGTAACCCACAGCTTTCATTACGCTTCAGCCTGAAGTAAAGGTCTTGTTTGAACACTTCTTTATTGGGAAATTGGGTGTTTGGCCCATGCATATGAAACGCTTTTGATTTATAGTACTCAAACTGCGTCTACCAATGCAATCTTATTCATTACGCTTGGAGAAAAAGATGTGCTCCCACGGGCGATTTTTTTAAAATAACGTTGTTTCAGATGGAGCAATCATGCTAAATGAATGGAGACGTGTTAGATTGGAGGTTCAGAATGATTCCCAAAGGAACGGCTGCATTTTATGGCTGTCTAAACGCTAAAAAATAGCCCATCTTCAGTATCCGATACTTTCCATATTAATGCTTAGAAAAATGTAATTATGTGTTTACAGTACTAGTGTATGTAGTGTAAACTCTGCTCCTCCTAAAACACGAACATTGCGAGCGAAATCCATCGCTAAATTTGGAAATTAATACATACGTTTTGGAGAAAGTGCCTGAGTCCAGCATTCATTCCTGAATGATTAGAAAGATGAAGAAATTTGGGTGAGGTTTTTCAAAAGTAATACTGTCCATATGTTGGAGTGTCTATTTTTCTATCGTATTGGATAGAAATTCTATCGTATGTCGATTGAAAGGTCGGGGCATGTTGAGAAGATGATCTGGAAACGGACGTTTCCTCAAGCAAGGTCTTTCATCAAAGTAATAGCAAATTGGAAGCTTTTTGGTATGTGTGTATGGTTTGCAGCTTTATTTTGTTTATGAAATATGCAAGATATTGCATCAAATGCTGTAGGTGGGAACTCCATTTCCCATGAGGCAATGCTATGGAATATACATGTGGGATAGATGGGAGTTGTAGGAACTAAAGGTTTGAGTTCGCATAATGATCAGCATATGTATTTTTTATTATTTTTTTTTTAGTTGCATCCCAGACATTTTAGTTTTTTCTATTTTAAGTGCTCTTAATTTTTCTTTGCTCTCTTTAGGGGAAGCTCACGAATTTTAACTTTAGAAGAACTTTAACATTGCATTTGCTTTTATTTCATCACTCAAAAATGTTATAATTCAGACTAAAGTAGGCTTTGATGAACTACCTCACTCTAAATTTCTACAGAATTTTTATTTTTTATTTTTTTTGCGACGTAGCTGCCCGTAAGATGGATGTTAATACAGATTTCATTATTTATTTATTTCTAAAGTGAACTATTGTCAATAGTAGGCAACGTATAGTTTTGTACATTATGTATACTTCACCTAGAAGTAAAAGAACTGAAATGTAAATTTGATCTTTTTGTTTCATTTTACTTTGTACTCATTTTTTACAGTTCACTGACACGTTCTTTTGAATTGACAAAGTGTAAGAACGGAGGTAAGAGTTTTGGAAAACCAGCATTACTTTGATCGCTTTCGTTTTTGCCGGCAGATGGAAGCTACTGCTGCGCCATCTTGCCATTTGGATGTGGAATGATTTGAGTTTATTTATATTATAAAGATGAATGGGGAATATATTTTTAAGGTGTTTAATTGTTTTGGGGTTTTTTTGAAAGAGAGAGTCATTTATTAAACGGCACATCCATTTTTCTGGATAAACGAGTGTTTCCTCACTGTTACTACTGCTTTGGAGTCAGTGGCGCGTAAAATCGCAGTTTGTTCGGCGGCAGAGGTGGTTTTAATGTGACCTGATTGATTTTAGTTGGACGTTTTGGACGTTTGTCTTACAGAAACACATTTTAAAGTGCTTTTAGGGTCTGTAAGCTAGTCTTTTCTCTTTCTAATGTCATTGCACACGATTGACGTCACGTAGTATTCTCTCACGTTTGGGTTTTCAAACGTCACTGTATGTAATCTAGTCTGTACATATTTCAACTTTAAACACAGAAAACAGTAACCCACAGCTTTCATTACGCTTCAGCCTGAAGTAAAGGTCTTGTTTGAACACTTCTTTATTGGGAAATTGGGTGTTTGGCCCATGCATATGAAACGCTTTTGATTTATAGTACTCAAACTGCGTCTACCAATGCAATCTTATTCATTACGCTTGGAGAAAAAGATGTGCTCCCACGGGCGATTTTTTTAAAATAACGTTGTTTCAGATGGAGCAATCATGCTAAATGAATGGAGACGTGTTAGATTGGAGGTTCAGAATGATTCCCAAAGGAACGGCTGCATTTTATGGCTGTCTAAACGCTAAAAAATAGCCCATCTTCAGTATCCGATACTTTCCATTTTAATGCTTAGAAAAATGTAATTATGTGTTTACAGTACTAGTGTATGTAGTGTAAACTCTGCTCCTCCTAAAACACGAACATTGCGAGCGAAATCCATCGCTAAATTTGGAAATTAATACATACGTTTTGGAGAAAGTGCCTGAGTCCAGCATTCATTCCTGAATGATTAGAAAGATGAAGAAATTTGGGTGAGGTTTTTCAAAAGTAATACTGTCCATATGTTGGAGTGTCTATTTTTCTATCGTATTGGATAGAAATTCTATCGTATGTCGATTGAAAGGTCGGGGCATGTTGAGAAGATGATCTGGAAACGGACGTTTCCTCAAGCAAGGTCTTTCATCAAAGTAATAGCAAATTGGAAGCTTTTTGGTATGTGTGTATGGTTTGCAGCTTTATTTTGTTTATGGAAATATGCAAGATATTGCATCAAATGCTGTAGGTGGGAACTCCATTTCCCATGAGGCAATGCTATGGAATGTACATGTGGGATAGATGGGAGTTGTAGGAACTAAAGGTTTGAGTTCGCATAATGATCAGCATATGTATTTTTTATTATTTTTTTTTTAGTTGCATCCCAGACATTTTAGTTTTTTCTATTTTAAGTGCTCTTAATTTTTCTTTGCTCTCTTTAGGGGAAGCTCACGAATTTTAACTTTAGAAGAACTTTAACATTGCATTTGCTTTTATTTCATCACTCAAAAATGTTATAATTCAGACTAAAGTAGGCTTTGATGAACTACCTCACTCTAAATTTCTACAGAATTTTTATTTTTTATTTTTTTTGCGACGTAGCTGCCCGTAAGATGGATGTTAATACAGATTTCATTATTTATTTATTTCTAAAGTGAACTATTGTCAATAGTAGGCAACGTATAGTTTTGTACATTATGTATACTTCACCTAGAAGTAAAAGAACTGAAATGTAAATTTGATCTTTTTGTTTCATTTTACTTTGTACTCATTTTTTACAGTTCATGTGCAATACCCACTGCTGTCATGCTAGTTGTAATCGATAGATCTAGACTTATTAGTTTTATGTACCCAGAGGTAGAGATATGTTTGGTACTGTCAGATACATTCATGTTTTTGTCTTTTTAAATCTGGATTTTTTTTTTCCCCCCTTTGGCTTATACTGTCAATGTTACATAACCCGTCTTACCAAAAACAAAACTCTGTGGCTGATGTTAGCAAGTTGTTATGTTTAGCCACTGGACTTTAAGTCCGATTCAAAGGCATCTGTAAAATATCTTGAAAAACCAACGTGTTAAGGTTTGGTGCTGGTATGTAATATTTGCTAGCAATGCCAGGCCTACAGTTAGTTATAAATTGCTAGCTCTGTGTGTGCTAAACAGCATACAGACACTGAGAAGTGCACTACTACAAAGAATGCACTGGGATCTTATGATACCAATTGTACATGTACTGCAAATAAACACCAGTTTGAATCAGAACGGTCTCCTTCTTTGTCTCATTGCCTTTACACCACAGTTTAATATACCAGACATTTACAGGGTTTCTGCAGGTAAGTAGAAGACTTTATAAGAACAATGAAAAAAAGTTAAGGAATAAACTAAATGAAACGCAATGCGTCATTTAATTTTGTTTACATTTTCAGAACACAAGACTTCATAACTTCAGTTTGCATCTCAAGTAAATATATCTTAATTTAACCCTCTGGTGCTGTTCGTTTTTGACCTTTTTGTTTGTTTAACTTCATCAGAATCGTACGAAACTTGGTACATATTCGGCACTTGCTTTGTGAACACAAAAAACATGGCCATGATTCAAAAAGGTTAAATGGTCCTGAAAAAAATAGTCACACTTGTGCTGTTTGTGGTGAAAAACGAATTTCATCTCGAGGAAACGTTTGGTGCTACGCCCAAAGAAATCTTACTTGAAAGCTCAATATTGTTTTTTTAGATCAACTTCAAATTTGGAACACAGCTTGTTTAGATTTATGGCTAGAGCAAAACATGTTTTGGAGAATATGTATTTTATGTCAAATAAAAAAAATATATATTTTTGTGCATTTTTCATAAACTTTTATAACGTTTTTTTTTTTTAAGTTTCACTTTAACATTTTAACTTCTCTCCAGCAATAATCTGCCAAGGCATTAAAAAGCGACCAAACTTAAGTCTGTGCTCCAAAGGATTAAAAACTTATGACAGTTTAAGTTAAGGAAATTTCATTTTTAGGTCTATGCTTAGAAAGTGGTTAGCAGGCAATACATGGATCATAACTTTACCACAAAAATATAATTTAGTACCATAAAATCCCTTGAAAATACAGAGTATTACATAAATCTAGTACATTAATTTCATGAAAAAAAAGTCATTTTTAACGCAAGCAGCACCAGATGTTTAGATATCGGAAAACAAAACAAAAATACTGAAGAGCATTTAATGCCACGACTTTATGAATTTAAGATTTTCTGCTCTAATTTCTAATTAAATTAAATTAAATTAAATTAAACTAATTAAAGCAGGAATTAAGACATTTTAAGAAATGCAGAACACCTTTATATTGAGCGACAGTATTATCAGTTAATTAGTATTTTTCCCAGTGGCATTACTGAATTGAATGGTTGAGTAAATGTTTCAATGACTCTCATAAAGAACATGACTGAGTTCATAATGGCATATTACGCATACATGTCATACCAAGAACAATAACTATAACTATATTCCAGTTATTTAAGCTCTACAAAACGGCTTGTTTTGCAGATGATATTATAAACACATTGGTTTGTGTTTTTACCTCTAGCTTGCTTCCGTCTTGCAAAATAAAGGTAACTGCACTTGCCTTGTTCCTTGTTTGAATTAATCGGTTGAATGAATGATTCAGTGTTGCTCATAAAAAAGACTGAATTGCTGAATTCGGAACCATATACTAGCGTTCTACTCTTACTGTTAATAGTAATGTTGCTGAACGATAGAAGACCAATGAAAGAATCACGGCACAATCCCCAGCACAGGCAAGCAGAGTGATACAAACAGTGAAAAGTCAGCTTTCTGGCGATCAAACTTGAGCACTTGATAACAAACCATCGTGGAGTACATTCTTTTCAATTAGTTTAATTTAGTCCTTTGTGAATAATTACATACCACCACAGTGACACTTTTCAGCACAGCACAACGTCTAATCGTCATGTATGACCGCAGTATAATAGTCTAATCATGATGTATAACATCTTCACAATATGCATTAAAGTCCTTTGTAAAAGCTGTTATTCTAGTAAAATCCAAATAATATCCAAATTGATTGATAACTGAAACGTGTTGAGCAGCAAAAAGCACTTTGCTTGAGGGCACAGTGGTGATGTCCAGTTTCTGGGTCTCTTCTTCGTGAGATTGAACCTGAAACATTCATATTAGCAGCCTGGAAAATGAACCATTAGGCTACGGCCATCATGCTAATATATAATATGACTCACTATGCAGTCAGAAAATGAGCTGAGTCTACAAAATCTATGACAGTATTTGACCACTCACATCCACAGAGCATTTCTAGCCTTTCTATACTAAACAGTGTAGAATAAATATAAAATCAGATCAATTGACAAAAGTCACATTTCAAACTTTTTTTTTTTTTAATGAAAGTGGCACTGACGGTCACTTTGGCAGTCTTGAAATACCACCGAATATGCAATAAAACGGTTTCAATGCCAAGATCTGGAGCTATTTTAGTTTTAAAAAATGCTTGCATTAAATGTTTTTGTGAAGCAGTGGCCTGCTTAAAGGTATAGTTTACCCAAAAATTTAATTTATAAAAAATGTGCTCACACTCAGTTCATCCAAGATCAGGATAAGTTTGTTTCTTCATCAGGTTTGTAGAAATGTAGCACTGCATCAGTGTCTCAGCAATGGATGCTCTGCAGTGAATGGGTGCCGTCAGAATGAGCGTCCAAACAGCTGATAAAAACATCACAATAATCCACAAGTAATTGTCATGAAGCGAAAAGATGCGTGTTTGTAAGAAACAAATCCATCATTAAATTTTTAACTTCTGACTATAACTTAACTTCATAATAACGCTTCCTCCAGTGAAAAAGTGCATCTGCTGTTGTCTCTCACATCAGAATCCAGCCACATATGTGTTTAGAGCTGTTTAAACGCTGCTTGATCTGTGCAGATTTC